CTTTGCCCAATCCTTCTTACAATTTCTCCTTTTCAGAGAGTCTAATCTCAAGAATTTTCCCGGTAAATTTCCTGCGTGATAAGCTCTATCCGAGTCTGCTTCCCAAGGAGCACAACTTGTTACAAATGGGATCAGGGGTGTACAGCCAGATTTTTCTCATAAACTTCACAGTCATGTATATGAATTTAACAAAATAAACAGCAGAGTTTAAATTACATCATAAATAGAGATCTGTGGCACTGCCTAATGGATTATGGAGTAATTAGAATTAAACTGATGTGTAGACTGTTTTTGTGTTTGATCTACATAACTAGGTGAAGTGAAATGAAAACTAAACTTACAGCCTCTCACCTAGTTCTCAGGTCTAAGTCAGAGATCACTGAATGTGAGGCCATCCTGTCTTGAGAAAGGATACTGAAATTTTGCCACAGATATATTGTGAAAATCTTGCTTCACTATTTTCCTAAAGGAACTCAAGGCAATTTATACAGGTAAATGTTAATTAGAGAAAGACAGTACGCAGACTTTTCAGCAGTGTAAATTCTTCGACTTTGTCTAGTATCTATCAGATGACATGTTTGATAACGACTGACTTTTAGAAATTTGGCATTACTTTTCAGTCTGCATATTGTGGGATATGAAAATGTTCACGCACTTTTACCTCTACTGACTTCAATCACTATGTTTCTACTCTATGTTATCATATCCGTCTTTCTTTCAGTCCCAGGTTCTTTAATAGACATAGGATATCTCTAATTTTCTATTTCTTCTTATTTCAGTTTTGGCAAATTGAGTGTGTGTGCATGTATGTGTATACTTGTGTGATTGAGTGTATGTAATTAAATCTATCTTTTTTCCATCAATTTTCATATTTTGAGTCAAGGATTATTTATGATATCCTCTTAAAAATCTACTCACCCTTTCCCAAGATCTCCCAAAGTTGTATCTCATTGTAGAATCAGCTCAAAGTTCAGAATCTCCTCATTTAAATCAGATCCAAGTGAAGATTAGGATCTTCAAGTACGGTTCCATAAGCAAAGCTCTTTGAGTACAGCTTCTCTTGATTTATACTTGTGAAAAACTGAAGAAGCTAGATGTCTGTCTCTTACCCCGACTCCCCCATCATAAAGCAGTGAGTCGGGCAAAGGATAACTACTGTAGTCATTCCTATTTTAAAAAGTAGGAGATAAATGGCACAAAATGGTCTCTGGCCAACAGCAGTTCTGAAATCCAGCCAGACAAATGTCAGAAGTTCCTTGATCAAGTTTCAAGCCCTTGGAATTATTCTCCATTGGTTTTTGGCTTGGCCCTCTGACCTCTTGGTTCTGTTCTCTGAGTTCTTTCTTTTTCATGAAAGGTAATGTGGGTTTGCAGTGGAATGTTTTTTTCAGCCTCCTTTCAGCCTGGGGCTCTAAAGAATTATCTTTATTCTGTAATATCTCTGTCTCCCTCAGTCCTAGTATTCCAAAATCTTTATTGGTTATCTATTTGTTGGGTTACTAGCTGTCCAAAATAAATAAAATAAAAAATTAAAACAACAATCTTTCACTATCTCATAGATTCTGTGAGGATCTGGATGCAGCTTAGCTGGGTGCCTCTGATCAAATTTCTTTATAAAATTAGAGCAAGGTTGCTGGCTGGGTCTGTAGACTCAACAGCAGGATTGATTAGTTGGGAGGGATGCACTTACAGATTACTCACATGATTGGCATGACTGTTCTTCACTGGATGGGAAACATTTATGGAATGGGGTTTCTCCCGTGCCCCAGTGATCCGGACCTCCTCCACAGGGTCAATGCCCACTTCCAGGAGATCTATGTCACAGCCCTCACCCACCCCTCCTCTGCTCAGGCTGCATAACATCGGGGCCCTTTAGCAACCTCATCCCACCACCCTCATCTACACATTTCTCTTTTTTTTTTTTAGAATAAAATTCAGTCTTGGCTCCACTGGAGAATAGTTGGGAAGTTCTGTCACACATAGAAGCCCTGACCATGTGACTGCCTCTGAGGGAGAAGCAGCTGGGTTCTGAGTTCTTCAGGGGGGTTTTGATCCAGTCTGTGATGCTGTGGGTGGAGAGCTGCTGCACTGCTGACAGTAATAGTCTGCAGCATCTTCAGCCTCCACACTGCTGATCGTCAGAGAGTAAGAGGCTCCAGACTCATTGGCCCTGAAGTAAGCGGGGACCCCGGAGGCCAGGTTTGATGTGCTATAAACAAGGAGCTTTGGTGGGGCTCCCGGCTTCTGTTGGTACCAGTACAAGAATCTGCTGCGTACACTTGAGTTGCCCCTTCGTGTGACAGTGACTGTCTCTCCTTGGGAAACTGCTATGGAGGCTGAAGACCCGGTCTAGATGACTTCTGCACTGGATCCTTGGTTCACATTGGAAGATACATAAATAAAAAATTCAGAAGCAGTAACAGTTTCATAAATACAGTCATAATCTTCATTTAGGCAGAATTAGAAATAAACTCAATTTTTAAAACATTTGATTTTATCAATCATTCTGTAGACACACGGACTTTTATTGAGTTATTCTATCCTAAGTCATCCTTGCTGAGATCTGCATTTACATTTCCATGGAACCAGGATAAATTCTGTGTGTACGACTCCCTTTCTTCTTCTCTGTGACCCAGAGAAACAGGAGGCAGAAAAATTGAGCCTGGATTTCATTTCATCTTTTAGCATCTTTACATTCTTTTAATATTCTATTGGTATTTAAATTTCTATAAATAATATGCTCATAGAGATATTTAATGTAGAGAATTATTAAGCCTTTTGGGTCTTACTTTTTAAATACAGATTTTCTTAATATGAAAGATAGGGATTTACTCTCCTGAATCTTCCCTGTACACATTGACCAATGCCCCACATTGCCATTGTGGATTCCTCCCTATATAGTCATATAATGATTTTTAGTTTATTCAACTTACCGTAATTCTATTAGTGAGTGGATTTATAGTCATACTAAGATATGCATTTAACATTTAATATTTGAAAACAAACTATATTACATTGTGTATTCTGTAAATCCGTGGTTATAACTGTAGGTTTTCAACATTTTTGAAATCTGGCTTTTTACACCTAATGTTGTATAACTCACANAAAGGATACTGAAATTTTGCCACACATATATTATGAAAATCTTGCTTCAGTATTTTCCTAAAGGAACTCAAGGCAATTTATACAGATAAACGTTAATTAGAGAACGACAGTACCCAGACTTTTCAGCAGTGTAAATTCTTCGACTTTGTCTAGTGTCTGTCAAATGACATGTTTGATAACAACTGACTTTTAGAAATTTGGCATTACTTTTCAGTCTGCATATTGTGGGATATGAAAATGTTCATGCACTTTTACCTCTACTGACTTCAATCACTATGTTTCTACTCTGTGTTATCATAGCAGTCTTTCTTTCAGTCCCAGGTTCTTTAATAGACATAGGATATCTCAAATTTTCTATTTCTTCTTATTTCAGTTTTGACAAATTGAATGTGTGTGCATGTATGTGTATACTTGTGTGATTGAGTGTATGTAATTAAATCTATCTTTTTTCCATCAATTTTCATATTTTGAGTCAAGGATTATTTATGATATCCTCTTAAAAATCTACTCACCCTTTCCCAAGATCTCCCAAAGTTGTATCTCATTGTAGAATCAGCTCAAAGTTCAGAATCTCCTCATTTAAATCAGATCCAAGTGAAGATTAGGATCTTCAAGTACGGTTCCATAAGCAAAGCTCTTTGAGTACAGCTTCTCTTGATTTATACTTGTGAAAAACTGAAGAAGCTAGATGTCTGTCCCTCTCCCCCCTCCCCCCACATCATAAAGTAGTGAGTCAGGCAAAGGATAACTACTATAGTCATTCCTATTTTAAAAAGTAGGAGACAAATGGCACAAAAAGGTCTCTGGCCAACAGCAGTTCTGAAATCCAGCCAGACAAATGTCAGAAGTTCCTTGATAAAGTTTCAAGCCCTTGGAATTATTCTCCATTGGTTTTTGGCTTGGCCCTCTGACCTCTTGATTCTGTTCTCCGAGTTCTTTCTTTTTCATGAAAGGTAATGTGGGTTTGCAGTGGAATGTTTTTTTCAGCCTCCTTTCAGCCTGGGGCTCTAAAGAATTATCTTTATTCTGTAATATCTCTGTCTCCCTCAGCCCTAGCATTCCAAAATCTTTATTGGTTATCTATTGTTGGCTTACTAATTGTCAGAAAAAATTAAAACAACAATCTTTCACTATCTCATAGATTCTGTGAGGATCTGGATGCCTCTGATCAAATTTCTTTATAACATTACAGCAAGGTTGCTGGCTGGGGCAGTAGACTCAACAGAAGGATCGATTAGTTGGGAGGGATGCACTTAAAGATTACTCACATGATTGTTGGCATGACTGTTCTTCACTGGATGGGAAACATTTATGGAATGGGGTTTCCCCCATGCCTCAATGATCTGGACCTCCACCTCAGGGTCAATGCCCACTTCCAGGAGATGTATGTCACAGCCCTCACCCACCCCTCCTCTGCTCAGGCTGCCATAACATTGGGGCCCTTTAGCAACCTCATCCCACCACCCTCATCTACACATTTCTCCTTTTTTTGAGACTAAAATTCAGTCTTGGCTCCACTGGAGAATAGTTGGGAAGTTCTGTCACACATAGAAGCCCTGACCATGTGACTGCCTCTGAGGGAGAAGCAGCTGGGTTCTGAGTTCTTCATGGGGGTTTTGATCCAGTCTGTGATGCTGTGGGTGGAGAGCTGCTGCACTGCTGACAGTAATAGTCTGCAGCATCTTCAGCCTCCACACTGCTGATCGTCAGAGAGTAAGAGGCTCCAGACTCACTGCTCCTGAAGTAAGCGGGGACCCCGGAGGCCAGGTTTGATGTACTATAAACAAGGAGCTTTGGTGGGGCACCCGGCTTCTGTTGGTACCAGTACAAGAATCTGCTGCTTACACTTGAGCTGGCCCTTCAGGTGACGGTGACTGTCTCTCCTTGGGAAACTGCTATGGAGGTTGGAGACTGGGTCTAGATGACTTCTGCACTGGATCCTTGGTTCACATCAGAATATACATAAATAAAAAATTCAGAAGAGGTAACAGGTTCATAAATACAGTCATAATCTTCATTTAGGCAGAATTAGAAATAAACTCAATTTTTAAAACATTTGATTTTATCAATCATTCTGTAGATACCCGGACTTTTATTGAGTTATTCTATTTTAAGTCATCCTTCCTGAGATCTGCATTTACATTTCCATGGAACCAGGATAAATTCTGTGTACTGTTCCCTTTCTTCTTCTCTGTGACCCAGAGAAACAGGACACAGAAAAATTGAGCCTGGATTTCATTTCATCTTTTAGCATCTTTACATTCTTTTAATATTCTTTTGGTATTTAAATCTCCGTAAATAATATGCTCATAGAGATATTTAATGTAGAGATTTATTAAGTCTTTTGAGTCTTACTTTTTAAATACAGATTTTCTTAATATGAATGATAGGGATTTACTCTCCTGAAACTTCCCTTTACACATTGACCAACACCCCACATTCCCATTGTGGATTCCTCCCTATATGGTCATATCATGATTTTTAGTTTATTCAACTTACTGTGATTCTATTAGTGAGTGGATTTATAGTCACAATAAGATATGCATTTAACATTTAATATTTGAAAACAAACTATATTTCATTGTGTATGCTGTAAATCCATGGTTATAACTGTAGGTTTTCAACATTTTTGAAATCTTGCTTTTTATACCTAATGTTGTATAACTCACAAAAGTTTTAGATAAATGGTATGAAACTCAGCCTTCCTCTTAGCAGCTCACAAGTTTTCATAGGATGGAAATACCAAAATTTATTTAGATATCTCTTACTGATGAACATTCAGAATATTTCCATAGAAACTAATAACGTTTTTATTTCTATAAGTTATTTTCCCAGAAGTTGGATTAGGTCGACAAGTACACATATCTTAAAATTCACTATTAATAATCACAAATTGCTTTAGGAAAATCTGCAGCAATTCATATTTTCACAAAGAATGTATTAATTTTTTCCCCTGCATTCCTACCAGAAGAGGGAGGCATAAAGCTATAGAATATTTTTAAAATATTTAAAAGAAATGACAACTCTTTTTTTCCCCAAGGTTTTCAAGTAATAAAGCCTGTGTTTAATTTTCTATTTTTGCTTTTTCTACAACCTCCACAAGTTATAGGAAGTGTCAGAGAAAACATTAAAATATCATTTATATACATTTAGAATTAAAATGAGCCTTACACAAAATTGATTTGAATACAGTTAAATCATTTTAGAAAATTGCTTTACAAGAATTATGACATGTGTGTATATAAAAATTTATTTTTTGAGAAAAATTTATCATAAATTTATCCAAAATTTTGTCAAAACTTATACACTTAACAACTCAAGTAAAAGTAGCATCAGCAGAAAAATCTTTCTAAAAATTTAAAGCCATCAAAAATTATTTCCAATCTTGCATTTGCCAAGAGAGACTATCACTTTTAATTATACGTACAGAAAATTAAGTTGCTTAAAGTAGAAACTTTGATGATCTAGTAAATAAATGTCCAAAAAAATGCAAGCCAAAAAAATTCTATGATTGAGATATCACATTGACAAAGTATTACCCTACATTGTACAGACATATTGATGTATGAGATAAAACCATAACATTAAGCATTATTTTTTCCAATTTTTATAAGCTTATGTTGTTACTCAAGTTACTCTTACATTTAAAAAATAATACCTTTTTTAAGAAAACATTTTACAATTTAGTACCCTTAAAGATAGTTTTTCCTGTTCTTTGAACAATTAGCCCTGCTTTTAATTTTGCATAGAGGTCTGTAAAATATGTAGCTGATGCTGTATCCCAGTAATACCTACCATACACCTGCAAGGTTGAAGTTTGAAAAGTTCTTGCAAATGCTTTTTGTTTCATCAGCAAGGAATACTCTACTTCCGTTGTACCCATGCTCTTCTAGGGAAATAGAACTGGGCCATCATGAATAAAAAAGGCTACCTCACTTCACTTTAAACTGGCATTGCAATATAACTTCTTGATCTTCATCTCTTTTGACATAATGTTTAGCTGTAACTCTCAGTTTTCCACTTCTGGAACCTGCCTATATATACATAGACATAAGTATATATATTTAAACGTAGATTTATGGCATATAATTGGGAAGCTATTAATTCATTGTAGTCAAAATAAGATAAAATTTAAAAACATGAAAACAACTTTGAGAGTGTTAAGAAATTATAGTTCAGCAGAAAGAATATGTGTGTTTATATAAAAAAATAGAGGTGATTAATCAGGAAACCGAGTGTGCAGTGTTAAAGTGCTGCCCTTCTGAACTTGGGCTACATCATGAGTAAGAGAACAGGGTCCTGGTTGTGAGGCTCAAAGAGTGGCTAAAATTGGTGATGTCAGGAATATTGCCATGGAAGCCACCACTGGCAAGTTATTAAAGATCAGCACAGCAGATGGTGTAATACTGGAGTCTGCAGAATAATATGAGCTTGGTTGCAGAAAAGCAAAGGAGTTTTTTTCTTTTTCTTTTCTTTTCTTTTTTTTTAAAATCATAACCTTTTGAATACAAGCATAGCTGTGAAGGTAACACCATGCACAACACATGTGAAGTTTCACACTCTGTCATTTAAACACTGCCTTCCCCATCCCATTACCATGTACCGACTAATTTGCATATTTCTCCTATTTAGAACCCCTCAACATCTTAGAGGCTGTATAACATATGCTGTCAAACTGATTAGAAACTCAGTACCACCTGAAGGCTATGGGGTCCCAGGCTCCGCTCCTCAGCTTTCTACTCCTCTGGATCTCTGGTAAGAGAAACATTTCCTCTTCTTCACAGCATTAAGCCCTCTGAATCTCCATAAAATATTAAATTTTCACAAGAAACTGATTTGTAATCTCTTTAAATTTAATGCATTTGGTTTGTCTTTCTTATTTTTCTCCATAAACAGATACCAGGGCAGAAACGACACTCACACAGTCTCCAGCATTCATCTCAGCAGCTCTAGGAGACAAAGTCACCATTACCTGCAAAGCCAGCACAGACATTGATGATGATATGAGCTGGTATTATCTGAAACCAGGAGAAGCTCCTATGCTCATTATTAAAGGTGCTTCTACTCTCCATTCTGGGGTCCCATCCCGGTTCAGTGGCAGTGGGTATGGAACAGATTTTACTCTGACAATTAATGGCATAAAATCTGAGGATGCTGCATATTATTTTTGTGGACAAGATGATAATACACCTCTCACAGTGATACACCCTGTTACAAAAACCTCCACATGCTGTCGGTGGAATTGCCTCAGCTGCTACTGAACATATTGAATATGCGGAACTAGCCGACCATTTGGTTTCTGTAAGACCTCTCCATGTACATGTAACTCACTTCCTTTTTCTTTTTCTGTGGTTTCTGATGCCCCCCCCCAGCTGTGCCTGACGCACTTGCTATGACATAGACTATAACATCCTTTATCATGTAATCTCACTTTGAAGCAGAGGTAAATTCACACAACC